CAATCGACTACGTTCCTTATTTTTCGTATGTAAGTAGAGTTTCGAGACCACTAGTAAATAAGTAATATGATATGTATTCACCATATGTCATTTAAGGTGATCAAGGATGGTAGTAGAATTTTCCTACAATGAAATGAGTAGAGCTGACGTTTCCATTGAATTTTGCATAGCCATTCTTGCCCAAAAGTTGTTTTCATCCATGGTGGACTGCAGTTTCGACCTCGCATAGGTCTCAACAACACCCCAGCAATAGTCGAATCCTGCAAGGGCAAAATGTGAGCTTGACACCTTAGCCACTAGGCCACATTGCCACGAGTGTCCTTGGGTCACAGGACAGATGTGAATTTCAAAGTAGGCCACACCTTTTGCTAAATCACATTCTTTGGTGGGATTATCGATGAAGCAAATGTATATGTGTTATAACAATTGACTATGTTACTTATTTTTCGTACGTAAGTAGAGCGTCGAGACCACTAGTAATATCGTATGATAAATAGATACGTAAGTCGATTTCACCATAAGATGACGGCAGTCCCCCCTCAATTTATTGTGACGTGGCTTTACTCGACCGTTAAGATCGACACATTCCTCAGAGCTCCTTCGATTAGCTATCATGAAAAAGGGCTGAGCTTCCATCTGCCATGTGACAGATATGAAATGACTGAATAAAGGATGCATTCATAGGTCAATCTTGGAATCATAATTTAAGAAAACCAGCCGGTCGGTCTTCCCTTCCTAGCATGCTTCTTAGCATTCTAATAAGCTGCATAAGACAGCTGAACTAAAATTGTAGGATCTTAGCTCAAACTGTGTACTATCATCAATTGTCACAACCTGATCTACTTCACATATTTACATACTGGTTACACATATATTAATCAATGCATCTACAATGTCTGGAGTTTAATTGAAGAATTCCGCAGCTTCGACATCATCATACTGCACCTTTCTTAGGACGTTTATAAAAATTGCAGAAATATACTATAAAATATGAGACGAATAAGAGTATATCTGACATACCCAAGACCAAAAGTGTCCACTGTATCAGTGACCCAAAGCAGAAAGTCGGCTTGCGCTTTGGATGCCTTCAAGCTTAAGGGAAAGCCATCATGCAACCGAGCTGCAGAGAGAGATGCCTCAAGACCACCTGCGCGCACCCCAGCAGCCAAACAAGCGCGTAGCTCAACGGATATCTTACTCGTATCAGCCATCAG